CTCTATGGAACATTACAGCAACTGCAACAGACCTGCACTTATCACTACATGGCATTGGACAGAAGGATGAGAGCCCAGCTGTTGCTGGATCGATAACAACAACAACAACATGCGGGGTGCATAATAAGACCCTGGGGACAGATACATGGCTCGTTCGCGCCAGAGCGGGGGCGGCCCATAATCTGTCCGCTTGGTTTTATGCACCCCGCATAGAGCTAATTTAGCAAAATTTGATCATTTTTTGCATTATATTTTTAAAAAAATTATTTTCCTTTAAAACCATTCTTTGTTAAAATTAACAGAATCATATAAGTTCACTTTTTTTTGTGGCTCAGTTCGCATAATTTCAGAATGCTTCTTGAATAAAACGACGGGGACAGCTTGCTGCTAGCATAATAAGTTTGTTTTGTTGTAGGCCTACCATGGCACTCACTCAGACTTCCTAGTCTGACAATTAGTTTTGTTTTACTCTTGCACAAAACCAGCCCAAAGAAGTCTAAATGAATGTTAATAAGCTTACTGCAAAGTCATAGTCACAACCTACCGTTCCATCTTGTGTTGGTTGTTTCAGATCGTTGGTTAGGTGCCAAGGTCGTTCTGAGTTGAGCTTTCCTTGCAATGCATCTTTTGTAAATTTTCATTTCTGTATGTGTCATACGTTCCACTTCGTTCCTTTCCCTCTGCTATTTCTGTCTGTTTTCCTCGCTTTTTCTTTGTTTTTAGTTTTAGTTTTACTTTTAGCAAGATTTTTTATGGCACTTGCAACACAACTAGGTTAGGTCATTTAAGTGCCGAAGATGAGATGTTTTACAAGGGAGTAACATACACAAAAAAAGAGGAGAGATGAGGACGATAAATGTTTGTTTTTTTAGTTGTAAGAGTTTTACGGCACTTGCAACACAACTACATGTAGGTCATATAAATACAAAAGCCGAAGATGAGAGGTCTTACAAGAGAGTAACATACACAAAAAAGGAGGAGAGATGAGGACGATAGATGTTTGATTTTTTAGTTGTAAGAGTTTTACGGCACTTGCAACACAACTACATGTAGGTCATATAAATACAAAAGCCAAAGATGAGAGGTCTTACAAGAGAGTTTAGAGAGTAGCATACACAGAAAAGGAGGAGAGATAAGAAAGATACAATGTTGATATTGGATAGGAAAGTAGGAGTAAACCACAAAAGAGCACCCGCCAACTACCTACCTTCGCCTTTTCCTTGTTCCAAATGAGCGGTCCTCATTCATTCTTTTTTTCTCTCTTCTATTCAATTTGATCATAAAAGAAGAAAACTCTAACTAAAAGCACAATTTTCATTGCTATAAAAATGTCTGACAGTGAGTGTTTGTAAATGTGAGGCAGCGTGGTGGAATCAGGCTCTCGTCAACAACGTACTATATAGCACAGAAACCCCCCGGGGCGGTGCCACTGACTGAAGTGTCTTTAGGCCATTCCCAAAGGGGGGACATTTCTCGTTCTAATTCTAACGCACAGTAGAATTGCAAATGTGCGGATCCAACAATGTCATACTCGTGCCTGAACTACAGCAGGGATCTGCTGCATTTTCTTTCTAGATCTACTCCTTCTGTATGTTTGTCACTCTCTTGTGACCCGCTATTTCCTGGGTGCCTTGACAGTCCAAGCAGACTTTGTGCTGTTGGAGCTAGAGAGGTGAGCAGAGTAAGTCTGATTCCATGTAGGGGTTTCTCTGTCGACATCCACCCCTTGGCGCTCATATTATATGACCTTATGCAGTTGCGAGCGCCGTAGTAGTAGTAGTAGTAGTAGTAGTAGTAGTAGAGTAGTAGTAGTAGTAGTAGAGTAGTAGCAGAGTAGCAGCAGCAGCAGTTGTAGTAGTAGTAGTAGTAGTAGTATAGTATAACCCCAGCAGTAAAGTACACTTAACACAATCATCAATGAGAATGAAACCACAGCTGACAAAAGGAAGACAACTGTTCTAAATAGCAAATTCATTGCATTTTCATTTATTTGATTGCAAAGACAAGTTAGGTTTGCATCTGAATGCAAGCAACGAAACCACATGCTTTTGCTTTATACATGATACATGTATGCGGGCAGTGAAACAAGAAATGGTAAAGTCAATCCGAAAACCACTGCAGTGAGCTCAAAGCGGAGAGAGTGTATGTGTATGTGTGAGAGAGAGAGACAGAGAGAGAGAGAGAGACAGAGAGAGAGAGAGAGAGGGAGAGAGTGTGTGTGTGAGAGAGAGAGAGAGAGAGAGAGAGAGAGAGACAGACAGACAGACAGAGAGAGAGAGAGAGAGAGTGAGAGAGAGAGACAGAGAGAGAGAGCGAAAGAGTGTGTGTGTGTGTGAGAGAGAGAGAGAGAGAGAGAGAGAGAGCAAGAGAGAGAGAGAGACAGAGAGAGAGAGAGAGAGACACACAGAGAGAGAGAGAGAGAGAGAGAGAGAGAGAGAGAGAGAGAGAGAGAGAGAATGGAAAATGGGAGGGGTGTGAGTGTGAGTTTAACACACAAAGCTTATTTTCTAGGCGGGCCACTTTTCCCTGAGGTAAGATTAAACCAAAAAGGATGATCATAATATGATTCATATAACGAGAATGTTTGAGTACAGAGAAGCACATTGACACAATGAAAGCCATTTGGTGCTGGGAAATGCGTGGAGCAAAAAAGGAAAGACAGAAACAACAGAGAGAGAAAGAAAGACACGTACATGCTACGTATAGGATCTAAGGGCTATCAGTGACACCCTTTAACTCACTGCCAAAAGAATGAACTAAGAGTAATTATAAAATAATTTTAAAAAGTAGTAGGCCTACATTCATTACATCAATCATGTGCACAGTTGAAAAAAAAGCACAAGAACATGTTAATTGATCGCTAAGGTGATTGACTAAAGGTGATTGACTAGACTAGACTAGACTGAGGTCAACAGGCGGTAGGAATTCATTCAAGACTTTTTAAAAATTTGGCATACAATTAACAGTCACATAGTTCACATACAGGATTAGACCAGACCAGCTAGTCAACAAAATATGGTTTTCTCTTTCGTTTATTTGATGAATCGATAGTAAATTGTCCATTTCATACATATATTATGAGAGGCATCGTGGTGAAATCAGCCGCTCATCAAAATACTGAAATAAAAGAAACTGTCATTTTTCTGCTGGTTTGGCAATTTTTATCAAGTTTTTAATTTTTGGCTCAACATCTTTTAAAGTCCATACACATTTCTGTGAGGATTTTACCAAAAAACATGGATTAAAGGGACAAAAGCTGTAAATTTTCAGTTTCCAAAGACTCTCAAACTATGGAAGTAACCAAACTTTGGCAGCCATTTTTCCCAGCGCTAATTTTTCCTCTGAACCCAGTGACCCCCACCTCTTTCAATCGCAAATATCTCGACTTCTATTCAAGATAGAAAGATATTTTTTCCATTTAAAGCAAGGCAAACAAACAGGCTTTAAGATAATACCAATAACTCCATATATGCCCAAAAATTGACGAGCGCCAGATTCCACCGCATCATGACACATATACGCTCAGCTCAGTCAAATACACATTTGAATTTTCACTAGAAATGCCTTTATAAACATTAGAAATAAAGCAGCCATATTTAACAGTATTCGTACTCCCTGGGTTGTATTCTTCCCATTTTAGAATACTTCTAGTGCGAAGATAGACTCTTTAGAACTTTCAGTATTTCTCAAAAAATAATTTTGACAGACTGCTATGAAAATCGTACGGATCGGATTAACGAGTAAATTTCCACTTTGGAAAGTTGGCCCAAACTACAGAGTTCCCCACGTCGTATGGATACGATAGTAAAACACAACGTACGGATAGGGTTAACACTGTCACTGTCATAACGCAACTGCTAAACAAACTTAAGTAAGCTGTGGGCTCCTGATCCTAATTTTCCCAAACCCTGGCCTCCAGAGCTTTGGAATTTTGAGTTCAGGTTCAGGGAGTGAGCACTTAATCGCGGAAAAAAACCTCAGTAAACCAGCACAAAATGTGATCAAGACATGTGACAGGGTGCAGACATGTTGGTATCCCATAATAGCATGTTGACAGAAACTAGCGTTCTGACTGATAGATCGGAAATTAGAGCCTTTTTCTGCCCAATATTTTAGTGTTCTGTCCTGAAACTGGTGCCAAGGATTATTGATGCTGAAGCGCATGCACCACTGGCTAAAAAGATGAACTCGCTTTTTCGTTATTTAAAAAAAAATTAAAAATTAACAGCCCTTACCAACAATTCAACCCGCCAATGACTAGAGCAAAAGTGCATCAGACTCATTATTTGAACTTTTAGTGCACCCAGACCGTTCTGTTGAGGATATAGCACGGTCACGGGCATTTTTACACCAATAACAAGGAGCCAGTAAAAAAAATGACAATATCTATATTAGCAATATAGGTAATCACTGTGACATGATATATTTTTATAGTTTACAATGGGTTCACTCCCTGAACTGAAAAAGCCATTTGCAGTCAGAAGGACATGATCAAGCTCCAACTTCAACACACAAAAGAAGTGTATTACAACGTGTGACAATTCCTTCAATTTCAATGTTGATTTAAGTTTTAGAGGTAAAGGTATTAACTACAGTCCCATCAAAAAGAAAGAAATCACTGCACATCATATCATATCTTTTGCAAAGGGGCCTTCACTTCTAAGAAAACACTTAGACTTAGATAACTGCGACAAATGCAGAATAACATTAAAAAGATGAACAAAATGCACTACTACAAGCAAGAAATCCCGGTAAATTCTATGGAAAAGTCTTCAAGAAAGTTTCAAAGTAGGTTTTCACACAACATGATGTCAATAAACTAAACTCATTCCATCTTGGAAAATTTAGTAAGTGTCAATCGGTCGATTTTATTCCAGTTTTCCACATAGACCAATACCATTTTTTAATTCTAAAAAACTATTTTAAAAAACAATCAAGGGAAGCTACTACAACTTTATCCCACCAATTAGATTTATTTTAATTTGTTTTTACCTACCATTTATCCCCCAACCTAGACCATTTTGGAAAGGTACCTAACCTTGACCATCAATAACTTATTTATAGAGGCACTGGCCATCCATGTCCAGGTGCTGTTTTAGCCTCTTTGAAAGGTACCTAAAGTGAGAAAAGTCTGTCAGAATACACGGACCAGAAGAAAAAGTTACACAACTTCAGAATCATCTACTTTAGCATTGACTAGCACCTCCACTGGCTGGGCAATGGTCTGCAACGACACGCCACTCTCTTGGAGGCTGGCCAAAGTTGTGTCATCCCCGACGATGTCTTGAATCGCTCGCGGGTCTTTGATGATGATGTTGATCTCGTTGTTCTCCCCCATCACAATCTCCAGGTTGGACGTCCCGTCTTGGTCGATGAGTTCCGGCCCGATGTTGTGCTTGACGTAATTCTGATGATCCCCGCTGACCAGAATCTCAAAGTTCCCGTTGTCGGTGGCAACCACTGGCAGGCCGGGGAGCGTTTGGGACGAGATGACAGGCAGGGCGGAGGAGACGGTGACCGTTTCAATCATGGGCTCCACCAACGGTTCGATGACAACGTTCTGATCCTGCTGCACCTCTGTCTCCACCACGTCCTCCGGCTCTGTTTTACTCACACTCATCAGCTCCTGGATGGTCGAGTCGCACTTCTGGGCTCGGGTTCTGTACGGCTTGCGGAATTTTACGGCTTTGCCCAGTTTTCTGTTGTAGAGCTTGATCTGCGACGGGGCGATGGGCAGGGGGGTCTCCAGTTTCATCTGTTCCTCGTACTGGAAAAAGTCCTCCTTGTGCACCCGCTGCACGTGCATCTGCATGTGTTTCCTCTGCGTGCACTCCTTCCCACACCAGATGCAGCGGTAGTTAATTTTCTGGTCGTGAGTGCTCTTGTGCCGCTTGAGGTGGCAGTACAAAGCAAAGGATATGTCACACTGGTCGCACTGATAGGGTTTTTCCCCTGTATGCTGCGCTAGATGGATGCGATAGTTGCCCTTCTGAGAGAAACCTCGACCACAGTACTGGCACTTGAAAGGCGTTTCTCTCGTGTGGATGAGAATGTGAACGCGAAGCTCCGGCTTTGTTCTGAATGTTTTCCCACAAACCGAACACACGTGAGGCCGCTTGTCCGTGTGGCAGCGTAAGTGCTTCTGTAGGTAGTCGTTCTGAGCAAACGACATTCCACACAGCTCACAGGTAAACTGCTGACCTTGGTGATGAACTTTGCGATGTTTGTTCAGTTTCTGAAGCGTCATGAACTTTTTCAGGCACGTCTCACAGCTGTACACCGCGTCCGTCCGATGTCGCTGAACGTGCTGCTTGAGGAGCGTGGGGTTCTTGAAGGTCTTCTGGCACACGCCGCACTCCAGATTCATGTTCACGTGCGTCTTTATGTGCGTCTGCAGGGCCTTGATGTCTGTGTGCGTCTTCGGGCACATAGGACAGCGGTAGTTGCCCTCCTGGTCTACCACGATGTCTTTGCTGTTCACGCCCGCCTTGCGGTACGTGGAGATGTCCACCTTACATTTCTTCAGAGCCTCCTCCACCATGTTGTTTTCCTCCTCTACAGGCAGGCCCGAGTCCTCAGCATGGCACTGCAGCAGATGTTTCTCCAGGGCTTTGTAGCCATACACCAGCTCATTGCAAATGATACAGGTGTTGGACAGCTTGGAGAAACCGGCGTCTTCGTGACATTTGCTCATGTGCCTCCGCCACCCGTGAACCGAAGAGCTCAGTTTTGGACAAAGGTGACATCTGATAATCTTCTTCTCCACTCTTTTTTCGTTTTTCTCCATTTCAAAATCATTGTGTTGTCTTTTTCTGAACTCTAAAAATTTCTTAGTGGCCGGGAAATGATCTTGGCAGTTGAGGGCTATGTGCTTTTGCAGGTACTTGATGCTGGCGTACATTTTGCCACAGTTTGGGCAGCCAATGCCGGGGTGAACCGTCTTCCAATGCTGGCGTCTCTCTTGGATTTTGTGAAAGTCCAAGCCACACAGAGTGCAGGGAAGCAGCCTCCGGCCTTTGTGCTTCTTCAGGTGTTCCTCCAGCATGAACTGACAGGGGAAGGTGTCGGAGCAGTGGGTACACTGGAAGGCTCCCAGCAGACGCACCGTTTCAAAACACTCGCCGTGCACCCGGCTGCGATGCTCCCTGTAGTTCGAGGCAAAGTTGAAAGTAGCAGAACACTGAGTACACTGAAATGTCGTCTCCTTCTTTTTGTAAGGGATCTCAGGATTCTTGGGGGACGGCTCAGGCTCCAGATTCTCCTCCTCAGAGGCTGCTTGATCTTTTGTCTTGAACAAAAACTCTTTGTTATCGACACTCACAACAATTTTTGGTTTCGAAGTCGGCCATTTCGGCTGCATTAAAACGAAGAATTTATTTCCCTTGTTTTCCGCTTTCATGGGATCAATGACATGTGAGTTGAGCAATGTGCTACGATTTTTTTGCAGCCTTTCCTGCAGCTTTTCAGCGTAGCCCGCAGGGAAATACTGGCGGTGGACGTCTAGCTTATGATGCCACAGGCCAGAGTGAGTGGAGAACTCAGCACCACACAGCTCACACGACACTTTCACAGTCTCAAGCTTGCTCTTGACACTCTCCCCGAGGTAAACGTCACCACCATTTTCCTCCGCTTCTACCTCCGTCTCCTCCATTTCCTCTTCGTATTCATCGTACTCAACATCCGCTGATTTCTCCTGTTGCTGCAGATCCTCCGAGGTAGCGGTAACCATTACGGTGCCCTCCTGTCCGGCAGACACTTCTACATTATCGGTGGGTTCACCCATGGTCAACCTCTTTCTGAAGCGAGCCCCGTGGCAGCTGTTATTGATGTGCCTGCGTAGCATCACAATATTGGTGAACTGCTTCCCACAGAGGCCACAGCTACGAGCCGGGTGCGCCATCATCCAATGCTCCTCCCTCTCCTTCGGCCCGGCAAAGTTGAGCTTGCACAGGGTACAGCGGAAGCTCTTGCCGTCGTTGTGCCTGCGACGTTTGGTGTGTATGGCTAACATGAACTGGTGGGGGAACTTCTGCCCACAGGAGGTACACTGATAGACTTCCTTGTTGTTCTCGGTTTTGTGCAGGCTCTCGAACGCTTCCACGCTCCGCTGGTGGACGGTGTTGTTGTGCTGAAGCCAGCTGCTGGAAGAAGGGAAAAACCCAGGACACAGATCACAGCTGAAATAACGGTCTTGAGGATACGAATCTTCTAAAGCATTAAGGGGAACCAGGCTTTTTGAAGGAGGCTTTCCTCGAATTTTAGCAATTTGAAACCTTAGACCATCATTTGATTTGTGGACTAAGAGACCATCTCCAGTAGGAGGCAACTTGGGCTCCATTATCGTATAGTAGATGGGGTTTCTGGAATTTACAGAAATTTCCTCTGCTGGTATGCAGTCTTCATGCAACCATGATTTAGTGGAGGAAACTGCGAAAGACAAAGCATCTTCCAGAGTGCGATGAACCACAGGATTTACCCCCGCATACTTTTTCAAAGTTTTTGGTCCCCTTATGGAAGCGGCCCCACCTTTTTTCTTCTCAGCTGTCACGGTAAAACTCGTTTCCTTTGAAACGTCCTCCACAGCACAAATGTATCTCTTCTGACTGTCTTTCTTCGTATCTGAATTCTTTTCAGTACTCTCGTCTGTCAAGTCTGTACTCTTTAATTTCTTATTTTCACTACCCACCCCTCTTTCTGCATCCACCTCAACTATCCCATTTTTGGCGAGTTCTACAGAGCTTGACGTCTGGCTTGGGGAAACAGACTTGAATGGTTTGTTCTCGTGCCGCTCCGCAGCTAGAGCCAGAGTCATGAGCTGCGTATTCCACGGAGTGGTGGTGATTTTACCCAAGGTCGTGCTGTCCACAAAATCATCACCAAACCTCGTGTTCTTTGCGGGGGTCCTTCCAGAGCGCCTCGGACTTTGCTTGAAATCTGTTTTAACCACAGGAGCTTTAGCCTGACTTGGTGCGCCTGGCTTTAAGGGATACTTACGGGGTCTCCCTCTCCCCACTTTCTTCACCTTAACTGGTTCAGCGGGAGTTTCTTGAGCGCTTTCCAGACTGACTTGAGGTGGTGCAGAATCTTGCACTTTGACAACCACCTGAGGCTGGGCAGCTTCTGCAGACGCTGCTCCGGCTGAACCTGACGACAAACGTTCAACAACTTGTACACTGTTCTTGCTTTCTGGTGCGCTGCTGCCACTGGCCGAAGTGCTGCTCAAAAGCTGTGTGAGATCAACTTTAAGATTGCCCGAATTTGGATCCACGACCATGTTGCTCATAAACTGCAAAAACGGTATTTTCTCAGTGCTTAAACCATCTTTGGTTTCGATTGTGATGAACGTCTCAGACAGACTGAGCTCACTCTGACCAGACACACTAGTAACGGGCACAACTTTTTCCTCTTCCTCTACATTTAACACCAAGTCTGAGACTGAACCTTTCAAACTTTCCAATTGATTATTATCTACAGAATTATCCTTTTCAGATGCCAGATGAGACAGACCTTCTATAGACGTCGACTTAACAGCTTCTTCCGAGACATCACCACCGACGACAGTAAGCTTTTCGGCCTCAGGCTGCAAATCTACAGCGATCACAATCTGTGTAGTATCCACCACCGACGTGGCTCCACCAGCAGCAGTAGAAGCATCCATTGTCGTGGACTCTGGCTTTGTGACCGACCTTTGTCTCCTCCCTCTCCTCAACTGCACTGTCTCTTCGTTCGCCTGCTCTGGCTTTGATCGCTTCATTTTTGAAAGTTTTCACAACTTCAGCATCTCTCAGGCAGGGAAAATGTCAGCCGCGAAGACAAAACACTCGGTCAGGACTGGTGGAGGTTGGGAAGAGTCTCTAATCCATCCAAGCAACTGAAACAAGAAAAATAAAATGAGCTATAATGAAGAACTGGAATTAAGACACCAAAGCCTTTTTTTTAGTTTTAGTAAAGAGTTTTACGGCACTCGCAACACAATAAGGTCATATAAGTGCCGAAGATTAGAGGTGTTACAAGAGAGTAACAAAAACACAAAATAGAATCAGACATGAACATGAAAGCTTTTGGATTTTCATGGGACCAGGTAAACAAAATAGCCTTCAAAAGAGTTATGTATAGAGATCTTAGTGGAGGGTTACTGTCATACAAAGAGTTGACCGATGCCCCATTCATAGGACGAAGGGTGATGATGATGTCAATGATGATATCGGTATCGTTAATAAAGTTACTTTTTATAAGGCCTTTTATGGGAGTTAAGACCTTTGAATCAACAACAAATTTTAAAAATTGTATTCCGTAAACCTTGACTTTGACGTTTACATAAATGTATAGTTTTCAGGTGTTCTTGTTCTTAATAGTTAAAATTTTAAAGCGATCCTGGTTGAGTTTGGTCGTAATGACAGGTTGATCAGCCATAGTCTACATGTAAAGTTGTTCCCGCATCCGATCCGGACATTGGGGATTGTGTTAGTGAGACAACTTCCTGGGTCTTCGGCATATATTGTGGTAGCATGGCCAGTTCCTTTCCACGCCGTCTTTACCTCCCCAACTTGAAGTCAGGTAACCATTACTGCTGGGTGGGAAGGAGGGGCGAAAAAAATGCGGGTCCAAACCGAGGCTCGAACCTGGACTTTCTGCTTTGGAGACGAGCGCACTAATATTCTATAAATATTCTCATCTTGTTCATTAATAAAAAGATAATAGAAGATCAACAAGTAGAGGCAGGCACATGCGACTAAACGTAGAACGATGCAAACTATTTTTAGGTAAGGCTGCCATTTTGTGTGACGTCAGACCAGGATACCCCTCCGATCTCGTGGCTACATCTACCCAACCGCATGGCACCAAGATTTTCTAAGTAAGTAAAATCTTTGATGGCACGACGTTTTGGTGCGATGTTTTTCCAGGAATACTTAGCGATATGATGCAGTGCTCCGATGTTGCTGCTCCTTATCTTCTGTGCATTGTTTATCGGGGGGGGGGGGGGTGTAATCTTCCGGCATCTTTACGGCAATTTTCGCGCGCTTTATTGTGTTTGTCATCAGCGTTCTTACTGTTCTGAGCATCAACGATCTAAGCGATCTTCCAACATGTCCAGGTAGATTTACCGCAATTACGAAATGCTATTAACATACTGGAAACATTGTAACCAATCAGAGCCTGGCTGACGGGCTGCAGTAAGCCTCTTAGTGTGAAATTTTCAAGTGCGAAACACATCGATTCAGATAATACGTCCAGCCACTGACCCAACATGTCGTTCCACGAGGTAGGCTATCTCCACCAAAGATATCTTTGTCTCCACAGCCTTCTAAAAATAGTTAGTGGGTATCTCAGGATATGATGACAGACATCACATTGGGCTACTAAAATTAGCAGCCAATCAGGCAGGTGCGTCATTCTACGTTTAGCCACATGTGAGACAGGCCAGCTGAATTCTCGACACTGAATTCATCATCTTTGTTTTACAAAATTAGAAATCTAATAAAAATATTATTTTTCGTTGATCTGAACCAACTTGTAGATCTAGGCCTACAACAAAATTGATTTTTGATGAATCATAGGAGAGTTCAGGTCAGTCTGAACCAAGAATATGTTTAAATGTCTCAAATCCTGACTTTTGGCATGATAGTGATAGACGGAATTCCTCCCAGATAGTAAGATAAACTAGATTTAGAATCTAGACCAAACTTGTAGATTATGTAAACAATGAATATAATAAAATGAAAGTAGAATTGCTGAAACAGTATTACTGTCTAATTCACGTTGCATTGATCTTAGTCATCAACACAAAAAAAAGGATACCAAAACCAAACTCAAACCCACTGGCGCTGGGGGTAGTTCATGACGCCGTTTTGTGACAACAAAAATATTGTGCACTTCATACATAACATTAAATTTAGGCAAGAGATTACATGCATGGACAGAAAACAAATAAACCTAAAACATTTGCCAAATTCAACGTACCAATCACACTTGATATGATTTTCAAGTCAAATCAATTCGTCGTCGGATCAAATTTGCGACACAACAGAGTACACACTACGCTGTATAAAATCAAACAAGACTGCAATTTCCTTCCAGCTTGAGCAATGGCGTCGATCAGCCATCAGTGGAAAACTGCGACCACTGCGCATGCTCATTGCGCGCGAAAAAAAGAAAACCCAGACAGTGGCAAGGAAAATCTCTCTCTCTCTCTCTCTCTCTCTCTCTCTCTCTCTCTCTCTCTTTCTCCATGCCTGTAGGCTAACTACCTCCCCTTCTCTCCTGCCCCTCCTCTCTCTCT